CCCCCCACGCACATCCAATCAACACACATATACACACACACACACACATACTACACACACACACCCAACGAACACACACACACCAACATACACATACGCACGACAGGAGGGCGGCCAGTGGGCGCTGGAGGCCGGGGCGCTGGTGCTGGCCGACGGCGGCCTCTGCTGCATCGACGAGTTTGACGGCATCAAGGAGGCGGACCGCGCCACCATACACGAGGCCATGGAGCAGCAGACAGTGCACATCGCAAAGGCGCGCGCGCACACATGCATGCACGTAACGTACACAACCCAGGGGCCGTCCCCGCTTGGCTCGGCCAACCCCCGTTTGCAATTGCCTTCATGTGGGGAGCTGAGGTGTGCACATCGCCGGCCGCCGTTTGTCCGACAGGGCAGGTGCCCGCAGATGACACTTAGGCAGCCGCATTCATCAACATCAGGAACTTCACCCCCGCTACGAACCACGTCCCCCCGCCCTTGCCGCCTTGCCGCCCCCGCAGGCCGGCATGGTGACCTGCCTCCCGACCCGCACCAGCGTCCTCGGCGTCACCAACCCCCGCGGCGCCTTCAACCCCGCCGCCGCCCACACCTCCGCCGCCACCAACCTGTCGGCGCCGCTGCTCAGCCGCTTCGACGCCGTGCTGCTGCTGTCGGACGTGCACGAGCCGGCGTGGGACTACACGGTGTCGGAGCAGGTGCTCAGGAACCACCAACAGGTGCGGCGCGGCGGCGTCGCTTGGGTCCGACGTGCGATCTGGTGTGATCTGGTCGAGATCTGGCCTGACCAACTGGAATATTTGAGATCTTTCCATTTTCCAGCTGTGGATATCCTTCCTTAGCCGGATCTGAGCGCGCATGATGCGGGCGAGCAGACCGGCTTACTCTGCGCTGCCGCCCATTTCTATAAATTCGGGCTCCCACCTGCAGGGTGCGGCGCAGGGCAGCCAGGAGGCGCCGCTGCCCTGCTGGCCCGTGGACGTGCTTCGCGCGTACGTCGCCTGGGTCAGGGGCCGCGGCAGCGCGCAGCAGGTGGGCGGGCGGGAGCGCCCGGACGCGCGGCGGCCCTCGGCCGCGGCTGGCGCCGCCCCGATTCTGCAGTGGCCTGCGCGCGTTGCATTGTCTGCAGCCGGCCCGATGAATCCGTTTCTCACAAAGTCGACCTTGGAAGGCACCCTTTCCCGTTTGGGCGGGTGTGTGTGTGTGCTCACCAGCCCCTTGGTCAAACCTCGGCCCCCTGCCTCTGATGTGCCCAGCCCCCTGGCATCGGGTGAAATCCAGAAACGACCCCAAAGGGCACTGCTTGCTCGGTCAACAGCCCCAACGTGCGGCAAATAACACCCCATAACCACCCCCCAGGAGCTGACCATGTCGCCCGAGGCGGAGGCCGTCCTGCTGGCCTACTACCAGGCCCAGCGCCGCAGCGAGGGCCGCAGCGCGGCGCGCACCACCATCCGCCTGCTCGAGTCGCTCGTGCGGCTGGCGCAGGTGCGTGGTGCCGGGCGGCGCGGCGGCCGCGGCCACGGCCGCGGCCGGCCCGTCCGCTGGGCGGGGCGGCTGTGGTGTGTGCGGTCCCTGCGGCCATCACCTTCCAATGAACCGCACCGCCAGCACCTCTGCAGGCCAGCTGCTCGTGCCTGGGTTGTGGAGATCCTCTAACCACCCATCACGACCCCGTTTTTGCCGCACCAAACCGCGCGCGCGCGGCCCGCAGGCGCACGCGCGGCTGATGGCGCGCGGCCGGGTGGGCCTGCAGGACGCGGTGATCGCCGTGATGGTGGCGGACGCGTCGATGGCGGTGGCCGCGCTGCTGGGGCCCAACAACGCGCTGCACACTCACGCGCCGCAGGTGGGGGCGGGGCCGGGGCCGGGGCGCTGCATTCCGTGCGTGCTTGCGTGCTTCATCTTCCAGTGCACGCCGGCTTGCAGCAGAGTGCACAGTGTGTTCTTGCGTGCGAGTGTCTTGCTGTCACCTTGTCCAGCTGGTTGAAGTGCCTGCGCGGCATGAGAGAGCCTTTCGGCCCCGCACAGCGCTGGCCCCGCCGAGGCGGCTCCCTGGCATGAGTGATCGGCCAGCAGCCCGGCACATTGAAGAACACCCCCACGCTCGAGTCGTCTGTTTCATCTGCTGCCCTCTCCAACCGCCACCCGTTCAACCCCGCCGCAGAGCTCAACGCCTTCCCTCAGCCATCCGGCCACTGGCCCGCATCAAACGTGCCACATGCCCTCCACTCATTCCAGTGCCGCTC